GACATATTATCGCGAGCTCGTGTATTTGCGCGCATATATATATATATACGCATGTGCAATTGTGCATACACGCATGTCGACAGATTCCGTGTCCTAAATCTTGGTCGTTGCTCGAGGCCGTCCTTAGACCTGCACGCGCTACTTCATTGAATGAGCCTTACTTGATGGATATCAGCAACAAAGGTTAACGAGTCATTGGCCCAAGCAAAATATTAGTAAACGTTGTACATCTGCGTACATATTCGAAAATATCATCATGGATTTACACGTATTTTCATATCCTAATTGTGAAATTGAAGATTAATTTTTCACATTCAAGAAAGCAAATTTATAGCCATGCATAAAAACACTAATCAAAAAAATTATTTTCGCGTATATATCAAAATTCGAACATTATGTCAATTTCAATTCGCAATTAATATGACTGTGAAAATTATAAAATTAAATGTATTAATAATATTTTTTCGCTCACATACTTTAGAAAGAAGAAGGAAAGAAAAATAATAGATTTATATTTATGAATTATTTCGGTATCTCAATAACTTGATTATCCGATAAGTTTTTCTAATGGTTTTCGATACTTTAGAGAATAGAATTTATTTGAGAAAGAGAGAGAAAGAAACTAAGAATTCACGATCATCTCGAAGAGTCCAATCGTTTTCCGAAGCGTCCATCCTAGTCGTGTTGGTCGATTATCTTAAATCGCTAACAATAAACCTAAGTCTTCCCGCATAAATTATTGATTAATTGACAATCGATAAGCATGACAAGTATAACGACTTGAGAGAGCGAGTCAAGATATATCTAGAATATTAAAACCTTTTTCTAAATATTCGAGGGATTAGGATCGCGATAGACGTCTTTGCAATTTTTTTTGTTATAAACATCTGCAAAAATAACAATTATTAAAAAAAAATAAAATAAAATAAACATATTTTAATAGTTATAAAACATTTGTGCTTCAATTAATGTGCCATGATCGCCGATAACCATCGACATACTTAGACTTCGCTATGATGGTTTCAGGGATCAGATCAATAGTCGTTAAATGTCAAAGCCACGTTAAATCGATCTGTCAACCGTAGAATGCGAGAGTCGAATGTGATCTAGCCTAGTGAAAGACATTCGCGGAATAAATATATCATGGTGAGTAATGAAAAAAAATATCAAAGTCTACAAATGATCTCTCATACTATTCCATTACTATATTCTAGCTGTTCTAAATTGCCTCTAGATTAGCTTGATTCCGGAGTGAAACGGTTCTCCAAGTTCCCAAGGCAGAGTCGACGCGAATTTTCTAATCGTCACTCACCCGATCGACTCGTGTTTGGTCACTGCAGCTCGTTCGCCGAGCTCGGACGTCGATTCCTCTAACTGGTGAACGCGCGAGCTTCTACAGCGGTTCCGTGCGCGGCGCGTAGCGTTCTGCGGAACACGACGACGGGGTGCATCGAAACCGAGAGCAGGAGGGAACGGGAGAAGGGGGAGAGGAGAGGGAGGTGGCGAGGTGCCTCCTCTTCGTCGCGCAGCCTGCACGTCGACGCGATCGTTCGGACGGTGCACGACGATGGTGGGGTCGTTCCTCGTCTTCGTCTTCGTTGGTCGCGCATTCCACAGCGCCGGCGCTGCATCGACCCGGCACGCTTAGTGGTTTTTCGATGGTCTACGAAAAAGCTCCGACATCCATCGAACACGGCTGCCGAAACGCGAACCCCGCGAGGATTATTCGTGCCCCCCCTCTCCCTCGTTCATCCTTGAAATTTTTGAAATCTGCCCTACTTTCGTATATAATAAAATTCGCGTTTCGTTTGTTAACTTATCTTACACAAGTGCTATGACGGAGACTCCAAATCGACATCGTTAAGGTGTCCTTATTATTCAATTTCGATGTAATTTATTTTAACAAGCTTTGCGTACTTAAGACCACGTCTCTCGCAGATGTCTCGAATTAGGTAAAATTTGAAACACACGTAGAGACACTTTTTAAAGAAAGAAGACAGGTGTTTATAAATTTCTGAAATTTGTTTCGCGCATTTATTTTTATGAATATAGTCATATAATTATAAAAAAATATAGAACATTTTTTCCACCTTGCAAAGCAAATCATTTTTAGTATCACTCTCCAGAAAGGAAAGGTATTTATTCTCTTTTTTTTTTCAAGAATTTTCAAGTTTTTCATGTTTTTTCAGAAAATAGGTACCCTTTTCTTCGTTCAATTAAAAAGCGCTTAAGAAACTGACTAAAGAAACGTAAAAACCGTAAAACTTCATCCCCCTGGCTGCCTTGTTTGCTTTATGCAAACACGATTACCTTCTATATTTGCATAGTAATCTCATCTTACGTGATTCAGAATGTGTACATTATACTATATTTGCGACAAGAGTCATTCGGATAATCCCTAGATCACCGATTCGCTTGACACTGCAACTTTGACCGGTACCTCGAACATTTGTCAAAGGCAATTTCTCTCATTTTTATCTTCGTTATCTGACACGGGGTAAGAAACCGGTGTTCGCTCGGCAAACATAAAGCTATCCATCCCGATCGATACATCCGTTCTTGGACTTCTCTTCCTGTGTATGGAAAACCGCGCATGATTATGCATGAAACTCCGCGGTTACGTCTGCCATGAAATGCGGTCAGAATATTTGAATAAAGTCCTTAGATAACAATGCCTAAAACCAGTATAATATGTTTATAATATATGTCTTTTTTGATATTTAAATATTAATGCAAGAATATACAGAGAAAAAATAGCTATGTATAAAGCAGAGATATATATGTCTATATCACTATAAAATTGAGTTATTTTTAATTTAATTTTCATGTTTTTCGTGGAAAATAATAATTAATAATTTTAACTTTTAGTTTTAATATATTTCCCCCTCTCTTTCTAAGGCAATTTTAATAAAATTACCTCTTTTGTAGTTTTTAGTTTATATTAATTTATATATTCTGAGAAAATGTTAATTTGATTTTTTCAAATTTCTAACTAAATTTTAATAAATTTAATTTTTTAAATGTTTATATTATATTGGAGAAAATAATGTGATGATAAAACTGTCAATTAAACACACGTAGCTCTCAGTTTGATTAGGCTAATCTGAGGCTCGCGTGTTATCACGTGATATGAGAATCATATGACCATATTAGCGGAATCTGATTAAACAGCTTACATAGTGTGTTTTACAAACACCATGCAAACGTTACTAATGTACACAGCGGTAAGTGCGTTTATCTGTTCCGCCGGAATAATCTTTCATTGGAGGTGTGTCGTGCGCCTGTCGGGGGTAAAAATAGTTCAAGTTACCCTTTGACAAACGCTATATCGTAATTCCAGGTCAGCGAAACGCCCACAAAGAATAAAAAAAAGGATTATTCGTCATATAATTTTATATACGTGTTATAAATATATCAAAGAGTGGGAAGTATATTCATAAAATCCTCACAAGTATATGTGTTTAAAAATATATAAATATAACTAGTCTTAAATAATCACCAAGAAAATATAAATATCTCAATGTAAAGAAAATACAAAAATTTTGTTAAAAAATTAAATTATAAAAAAATTACTAAACTAATTACATGTAATTAATTTTATATAGCATACAAATTAAATTCTAACAATGCAAATGTTGTTTCCGATATATGAATTGATGAAAAAAACTAATTTTATACATTTTCAGCAAGGAACAAGAGAAAAGATTAAATTTTATAATTTATCATTTAAATCTAAATTTGTTGGAACTCTTAAATGTCTTTAAAAAATGTACTATTATAATATTTATTAATAAAATTTACTTTTTTTTCTTTTTTTCCCCCTTCAATAACTGACCACACAGATAAAATTTTTTGTCTAATACATGGGTATGTACAAAATCAATTTATAGCATACGTCAATTTTGCAAAAATATGCAAATAAGCAAACTCACCTATCGATATGCCATATCGAGGAGCAGGGGCTTTTCGGCGTAGACGGACTTTTGGGCGAGCTTATCGCATTCATGCCGATCGACGACGACTTCGACGACGACGAAAAACTCGATATTCCGCTTTCCGGCGAACGCGGCGATCGATTATCCTCGCCATCAGAAGTTCCCAGTTGCCAGGAATATCTCATCCTGGCACGAGGACTACCATGACTAGGACTCGAGCCACGCGAGCTCGACACGCTTTTCGGACTCTTGGGACTCTTAAATCCACTAGAACTAAAGATGTGGCCCAATCGTAGTCTCAAAGACGTCTTATCTTTCGGCCTTGCAACACTATTGCTGTCGATGCTCGAAAAAGCCCGATCGGGCGATTCTGATTTATTCGTCATAATTTTTGAGAACGATTTATTCAAGCACACTTTATGCAAACACACTTGTCAGATTAGAAATTTATCATCATATACGTATAAAGAATCAAGATAATTTCTCAATGTAAACCAAAACTCTGAAAAAAAACACAAGTTTGAAAAATAAGAATTAAAATAACAAATTATATGCAGTTAAATTAAGTCTGTTACAGTACTTTCTTCCCGATTGATTATCACAAATAATTAAAATTTTTCAAACGATTATCATTTACGCGTTAAATTCTATTATACTATTCGTAATATTCCGTAACACTATTCGAAATATTTAATTTTTATCTGAACCGCACAACGTGTTACATTAGAATGTTGCACAGAGAACAAGTGCTATCAAATTTTACCAAGAAACCAAGCAAAATTCTAAACAAGCCATAGACTTCCTGTCGGCGGCAACCGCATCCTTTCTGTTCAGCTTTTATCAATTTTAAAGTTCCTTAAATAAAGAGGAAATACTAATAATAATAAGATAAGGAAGGTGTAATATATAAAAGCGATAAAATGCTCGAACATTCAACATAGCAACACGGTGGTATTTGTTCAATCTAATCGATGTTTGAAAATCATAACATGTCAATGACAATTAATGCCTCATAAATACTTTAGTCCAACCGTTCAAAATAATTTGGCAAAGAGAACACAATTATAAATTTTCAATTGCCTAGTTTGTATTCTGTCTTTGATTTACAGATCAACACTCGCTGCATGACTCAATCGATATAATGAGAATAAATAGGGACGCGCGAATTCGCAGGATGCGAGAGGAATAGCTCAACCATTCGCATGGTTTCGCGTTCCTGAGAACATTTCTTCGATGAAGAAAAAGAGAAGAAGCAGGATTCAGCTAGCTGAATCCCGCTATCATATTAGTACATACTTGCCTACTTATATCAATAATAGAATAACAATTCATTACTAGTTGATCACGAACGCTTTGAATACCATCGAGTGGGGAGTCCATGAGATGAACACGAGTGAGATGAGTGGGAGGAGTGTGATGAGATGATAATCGTACTAATATCGCTCCACCATGCATGGCATTTCGCGCGTGCTTCCTCGCATTTGTCGCGATTTTTACAATTGGTGGCATGCACGCGGGGAGGAGAGGTAGGACACTTATTTCGTCGCTTGTTCAAGATAAGCAATAAGGTCACCCCGTTCCTGCGGTTTCTTTAATCCGGCAAACACCATTTTCGTGCCGGGAATGTACTTCTTTGGATTTTCCAGGTACTCGAATAGGGTATCCTTATTCCAAGTGATACCTGAAAAGTAGTTTTACGCACAAATTAAAATTGGATGCTCAAATTACATTAAAACATATTAAATAAATTATATCGTTAAATATATATGAGAAAAAATGAAATTTTGAATGCTAATTTCTAAGTTTATCGCTTTAATTATTATTTTAATAAATTACTAAGTCTGTACCTTTTGCTTTATTGGCATCGGTATATAGGTAACCCGCAGCTTGACCGGTTTTCCTACCTATGAGACCATGTAAATTAGGACCTACTTTGTGTTTGCCACCCGCTTCAACAGTATGGCACTGTGCGCATCTTTGGATGAAAAGCTAGAAAAACAAAATAGGCAATTGCGTGAGTACATTACCATTTAGGACTGTTATTGCATTATATTATTTATAGAATTGTCCTCCATCACACCATCATTCACTATTTACCATATCTATTATTTTAATATCGCTAACATATTATGTCACACTTGCAAAATATTTAATATAAATATAATTTAACACGTTACCTTCTTTCCTTTCTCTGGATCACCTGCCGGGACACCCATATTTGCTTAAAATTCTCTAATCTGAAAAAAAAAATTCAATTATTATCGAGAATTGTAATATTAAGAAAATAGAGAAACTAATCTTTATCATCTGTACATGTATAATTTATTAAATATTTTATTATTTTAATGTTTAATGTAAATTCCATTAAAAAGTTTACTTGTTTAATGAATGTATATACAAATGTATATGATAATAACATTAAAAATAAGAATAATATTAATAAGAAATACATAATTTTAATAAAATTAAAATTTGAATTAAAAATTAAATTTAAATAACCAAGATAGTCATCGATAACGACCTTTCAATCACAGATGCGATGATATGTACTTTCGTAAGAGCAATTTCGAAAAATTGGCGCCAGCAAGAGAATATTTGTTTCTACTAACAATTTGCTTTGCCAACGAATGCAAATGAAATACATAAGCATTGGTCAACAAAGAACGAAAATATACTCTAAACACTTCTAATTCAGATACAGATGATAAACAAATTTAATTTTAAATTTATTTAAAATATTCCATAAAATATTTATAAATCTTGAATCTCTTTCTTTCTCTCTCATCTTTATAATGTTTGACATGTAAATAGTTATATAACGACAGATTCTTTGTCTATTATATAATTTAAAATTCTAAATATATAATTGCTATATTAAAAATTTTATGTAATATTTCTCTCTCTCTCTGTTTCTTAAAATTTAATAAATTGTAATATTATTACATTGATTCAATATTTGTTCTTTTTTTGTTATGTAAGAAATTCAATTCTTTCGTCATACATGTCACACGTGTGTGACGTATCCGGAGGATTTTGATGACACGTCACGCTCATGGAACTTTAAAGCTTAAGCAATCATACTAATACCATCAAAATTACATTTAACAAACTGTTTTAAATCAAAGAAACTATTTGCAACACGTGGCATCAAACGTGATAAATGATATCACATGTCGTAACCAAGTTCATTCAAGATCGGGATGAATAAAAAATATGTATTATAAAAAGGGAGGGAGGGGATGTACAATCACGTGCGGTCAAGATCGAACTTTGAGCTCGATTTATCAAAATCGAATTACCTCATATCCGATTCTCTGTAAATCATCTGTACCATTGAAAGCAAAAAATATATAAAATCGCGATTACCGCCATTTCGATCAATCGATGATGACATTTCCACCCCCCCTAGGCCGCGGACAAGGAGTTGCACGATCCTAAAATCCGGTTGAAAGATTTGCTTCTAAGATTCCAATACTGGCTCAGGACCAGGGTTAGACGTGTTACGTAATTCGTTCTCGTCTCACGCGCTTGTATGGGGTCGGGAACGGGGCGACAAAAAGAACGAGAGAAAAAGATGCCGCGAATTTGTTCAAACTCTACCTTTCGTAAAAGCGCGTTTTCCGAAATCGCGTGAATCTGATTAGATAACACGATCGATCGGGATCGCGTTTCACTGACGCGAGCGAGCACGTGGTACCAGGTCATCGCGAGGACTAAAGTGACATCAATTCGGGAAAGCAAAGACGCTCGTCTATCTTCAATACGCACTGTGCGTGCACGCTTCCTGCGTATGTGCGTGCTCGTCCTACTCACCGAGCGTTCCTGTCACACGGGAAAATTGTAGCTCGTTCGACAGCGATGCCGATCGATCTAGAGTCCAGAGCCACTGGTCCACCACTGGCAAGTGCGAATTCGGGCTAATTCAATGGCTGACGCAACACCGCCGTACACGAGTGTACGTGTGTATGTTCGTGCATACGTACATGTCATTGGAAGGACGAACGCTAGATGGCGACGAGGAACTGGCCACCATAAAGTCACTAGATCAACAAAGTACCGCAATTTTAATCTCAATAAAATAAGACGGAGCAAAAATGGCGTCCGATAGTGCAGATAGTGCACACTTTGTGTAGCTATCTATACTCAAGGTTCTTAAATATACAGGTTCTTAAGCTGGCTTTCTCTGCAGTCTCATGGCAGATTATATGAGAAATCATACTTTAACACGAGATGCGGACAGCGGGAAAGCAGCGAGCAGCGACAGCGGACAGCGGCGGGAAGCGCAGCGGGAAGCTGACAGCGGAAGCGGGAAGCCGGACAGCGACGCGGGAAGCGGACAGCGTGAAGTACAGGCACAGCGGAGCGGGAAAGCGGGAAGCGGAACAGCGGAACGCGGGAAAGCGACGCCCGCGGAGCGGACAGCGGGAAGCGGAAAGCGGAAGGCGCCGATAACGACAGCGGGGAAGCGACAGCGGGCGTTCTGTTTATAGTTCTTCTCTTTATTATTTCGTGGTCGCAGACATCCGCGAGGAGAGGGACGCGGACAGCGGGAAAGCGGCGCGGACGAAGCGGGAAAGCGGACAGCCGGAAGTCGGCCAAGCGGGAAGTGGGACACGGACAGCGGAGAGGAAGCGGGCGTTCGGTTTGTCACAATCAGGAATTGTGCGACAGCTCTTTTAGCGTTTTTGCAATTTTCGGGAGAAGTCGGGTCATCTCACGCAACGCGATCTCAGCGGCAGCGGGCAAGCAGCAAGTACAGCGGGAACAGCGCAGAAGCGGACACAGCGGAAGCGGCGGGAAGCGGAAAGCAAGTCGGGAAGCGGACCGGCGGAAAGCGGACAGCGGTGAAGCGGAGCAAGCGGCACGAAGCGGCGAGCGGACAGACGCGGGACAGCGGAGCGGAACAGCGGGGGAGCGGAGCGGGACAGCGGACAGGCGGGACAAGCGCGGCGAGTGAGGGCAGCGGGAAGCGGACAGCGGGACAGCGGACAGCGGGAAGCTGACAAGCGGACAGTCAGCGGGAACTTGGGGACAGCGGACAGGACGGGAAGCGAAGCGGCACGCAGCGGAGAGCCGGACAGCGGAGCGGAAGCGGGAAGGGACAGCGGGAAGCGGACGGAAGCTGAACAGCGGGAATGTCCAGCGGAGGTGAAGCTCGTTTTGTTATTAACTTGTTCTTTCTATTTCTTGGGGTAAAATGAGCTCGACCGGCGCTCGAGAGCACGAGCGGACACAGCGGGATAATGAGGAAGCGGACGCAGCGGAAGCGGGACAGCGGAGGGGGAAGCGGACGCGGACAGCGGAGGAACGGGAAGCGGACAGCGGGAAGCCTGACAGCCGGGAACGCAGACGGGACGGAAGCTTGGAACGCAAAGCAGGACAGGGAAGCGGAAGCGGACCAGGGACGGGGAAGCGGGAACACGCGTGAACGGGCGGGAACGCCCCCTAAGCGGGAGCGAAGGACAGCGGACAGCGGACACAGCGGAGCGGAAGACGGACAGCAAGCGGACAGCGGGCGAAGGCGGAAGGACAGCGGAAGCGGAGCGAAGCGAGCGGGAAGCACGCGGGTACGACGCGGGAAGTTCCGCGGAACGAGAACAGCGGCAGGAGCGGGAAGCGGACAGACGGGTAGGAAGCGGAACGGAAGCGGGAAGCGCGCGGACGGCAGCGGGAAGTGACGTCGGTTCAGCGGGAAGCGGACAGCGTGAAGCTGCGTTTCTGTTTTTATTCTAATTTGTTCCCTTCTTTTTCTTATTTTTTTTTCTTTTTCAGAATGTGGGGTCTCTCAGCCGACATCAGCAGCAGCGGGCAGCGGGCTAGCAGCAGCAGTAGCAGCGGGAACCAGCAGCAGCAGCGGACAGCGGAACAGCGGCAGCGGAAGCGGACAGACAGCGGACAGCGGAAGCGACAGCGGGAACAGCGGACAGCGGGAAGCGGGAAGCGGACAGCGGACAAGCGGGAAGCGGACAGCGGGAAGCGGAAGCGGAAAGCGGACAGCGGGGAAGCTGACCAGCGGGAAGCGGACAGCGGGACGGACAGCGGGAAGCGGACAGCGGACAGCGGGAGCGGACAGCGGGAAAGCTGACAGCGGACAGCGGGAAGCTGACCGAGCGGACAGCGGGACAGCGGACGAAGCGGGAGAGCGGAACAGCGGAGCGGAACCGAGCGGGAAGCGGACGAGCGGGACAGCGGAAGCGGACAGCGGACAGCGGGAAAGCGGAAGCGACAGCGGGAAGCTGACAGCGGACACGCGGGAAGCTGACAGGCGGACAGCGGGAAAGCGGCAGCGGGAAGCGGACAGCGTGAGCGGACAGGCGGGAAGCGGACAGCGGACAGCGGGAAGCGGCAGCGGACAGCGGAAGCGGACAGCGGGAAGCGGGAAGCGGACAGCGGACAGCGGAAAAGCGACAGCGGGAACGGCGCGGGAAGCGGCAGCGGGAAGCGGACAGCGGGAAGTGGTCAGCGGGAAGCGGACAGCGTGAAGCTCGTTTCTGTTTTTATTCTAATTTGTTCCCTTCCTTTTCTTATTTTTTTTTTCTTTTTCAGAATGTGGGTCTCTCAGCCGACATCAGCAGCAGCGGGCAGCGGGCTACAGCAGCAGTAGCAGCGGGAACACAGCACAGCGGACAGCGGACGGAGCGGGAAGGGAAACAGCGGGAAGCGGACAGCGGACAGCGGACAGCGGAAGCGGACAGCGGGAAGCGACAGCGGACAGCGGAAGCGGCAGCGGCAAACGGAGCGGACAGCGGACAGCGGGAAGCGGACAGCGGGAAGCGGACAGCGGGACAGCGGAACAGCGGGAAGGCGGACGCGGGAAGCGGACATGCGTAAGCGGAGCGGACAGCGGCAAGTGGCCAGCGGGAAGCGACAGCGGACAGCGGGAAGCGGGCAGCGGCAAACGGACAGCGGACAGCGGGAAGCGGACAGCGGACAGCGGGAAGCGGACAGCGGACAGCGACGACAGCGGGAAGCGGACAGCGGAAGGACAGCGGGAGCGGACAGCGGACAGCGGGAAGCGGACACGCGAAGCGGACACGGGAAGCGGAACGGGAAGCACGCTACAGCGGGACGAACGGAGTGGCAGCGGAGCGGACAGCGTGAAGCTCGTTTCTTTTTTTATTCTAATTTGTTTCCCTTCTTTTTTCTTATTTTTTTTTTTTTCAGAATGTGGGTCTCTCAGCCGACATCAGCAGCAGCAGGGCAGCGGGCAGCAGCAGCAGCAGCAGCAGCAGCAGAGCAGCGGACAGCGACAGCGGACAGCGGACAGCGGACAGCGGGAAGCGGACAGCGGAAAGGGACAGCGGAAGCGGCACCAGCGGACAGCGGGAAGCGGACACGGGAAGCGGAACAGCGGGAAGCGGACAGCGGGAAGCTGACAGCGGAAGCGGACAGGCGGGAAGCGGACAGCGGGAAGCGGACAGCGGACAGCGGCGCAAGCGGGACAGCGGGAAGCGTGACAGCGGACAGCGGGAAGCGTGACAGCGGACCGGAAGCGGGAAGCGGACAGCGGGACAGCAGGACAGCGTGAAGCGGAGCGGACAGGAGCGGAAGCGGACAGCGGACAGCGGGAAGCGGGACAGCGGACAGCGGGAAGCTAGAGACAGCGGGACAGCGGGAAGCTGACAGCGGACAGCGGGAAGCGGACAGCGGGAAGCGGACAGCGTGAAGCGGACAGCGGAAGCGCGGACAGCGGAGCGAAGCGGACAGCGGACAGCGGGAAGCGGACAGCGGGAAGCGGCAGCGACAGCGGGACAGCGGACAGGCGGGCGAACGGACGGGACAGCGGGAGCGGACAGCGGGAAGCGGACAGCGGGAAGTGGTCAGCGGGAAGCGGACAGCGTGAAGCTCGTTTCTGTTTTTATTCTAATTTGTTCCCTTCTTTTTCTTATTTTTTTTTCTTTTTCAGAATGTGGGTCTCTCAGCCGACATCAGCAGCAGCGGGCAGCGGGCTACAGCAGCAGTAGCAGCGGGAACCAGCAGCAGCAGCGGACGCGACAGCGGCAGCGGAAGCGACAGCGGGAAAGCGGACAGCGGACAGGCGGACGGGAAGCGGCACGCGGGAAGCGGACAAGCGGACAGCGAAGCGGGCAGCGAACGGAAGCGGAAGCGGGAGCGGCAGCGACAGCGGGAAGCGACAGCGGACAGCGGACAAGCGGGAAGCGACAGCGGGATGACAGCGGGAAGCGGACAGCGGACAGCGGGAAGCGGACAACGGAAAGCGGACAACGGGAAGCGGACAACGGGAAGCGGACAGCGTCAGCGGAAGCGGACAGCGGGAGTGCAGCGGGAGCGGACAGCGTGACAGCTCGTTTCTTTTTATTCTAATTTGGTCCTCTTTTCTTATTTTTTTTTTTCAGATGTGGGTCTTCAGCCGACATCAGCAGCAGCAGCCAGCCAGCAGCGCAGCAAGCAGCAGCAAGCGCACAGCGAAGCGGACAGCGGACAGCGGACAGCGGACAGCGGAAGCGGACAGCGGGAGTGGACAGCGGAAGCGGACAGCGGACAGCGGGAAGCGGACACGGGAAGCGGAAGGGAGCGGACAGCGTACAGCGGGAAGCGACAGCGGAAGCTGGCCAGCGGGAAGCGGACAGCGTGAAGCTCGTTTCTTTTTTTATTCTAATTTGTTCCCTTCTTTTTCTTATTTTTTTTTTTTTCAGAATGTGGCTTCCTCGCGACATCAGCAGCAGCGGCAGCGGGCAGCAGCACAGCAGCAGCAGCAGCAGCGGACGCGGACAGCGGACAGCGGACAGCAGCAGCGGGAAGCAGCAGCGGGAAGCGGACAGCGGACAGCAGCAGTAAGACAATCGAATCATTCGTAATTCATATCATTAGCATAATATACTATGAATTTTTCTACGTTATATATTGAATCGAAATTGCGCGAAAGAGGAAAGAAAAGTACAAGCCTATGAATAGACATTTCCATCCTTTACTAAAAAAAAGAATTAAAAATATCTCTTAATTTTATTTCTGTTTCTTCGGGCAAGTCTACATATATGACCAATATGATTAATTGA